CAAGAATGGTAACAAGTTAAAGGACTAACTGTTCTGAACATGACCACGTTCACTGAAACAACTAAACACAACAACTCCTATATTAAATTACAGCTGGATCATTACTGTTTGTGTTTAAAACACAAAGTGTGCATGAGAAGAGAAGGGGGGGGGGGGNNGGGGGGCACAGGGAGTTGGACAAGTGTGGAGGTGCAGAGATCCACAACAGATCTTTTTGTACAGCTGGTTTTATGATATGAAGGAGAATCCCTTTAGTTGTCCCTTTAAGAGCACACAGTGACATGACGTGAGAGTTCCTTTGTGGTCATGTGGATTTGCATGAATGAAAAACATGTCAACGGGCACATAATAGCGCATCAGCTCACACCCTAGTGACACTGTCGTATTTACCTTGCATCCAGCTGTAGACGGGTCTTTATGAGCCATATTGGATTGGTTGCTGTGATGGCTGTAAAACCTGAGGAAGAAAAAAAAACAGGATTACATTTTGTTCAAATCTAAAATACTACTAATCAAGCTGCCAGCGGTACAATAAAGTGTCCACAAACTAACACTTTAAGTAAGATGTAAATGTTCTTTAAGCTGCATTCATTTTGGTAGTTATAACAATGTAGAAATGTTCTTTTAATAAAATGACAAGTCACAAAGGCAGCTTAGAGAGAGAAAGCTAGCCTCTCTATACACTATCCTATGTGTGCTAGTAGGGAAGCAACTGAGTGCTATAAAAATGAAATGTCGTGCAAACAGCTGTGAAAAATCTAAATAAAAAAACCTTCTTATGCAATGGCCTAGATGGTAATGGTGTAGAGGACAGGCAGGCAGAGAAAGAAAGAGAGTAACCAGATATAAAAAGAAGCACAGATCTGTGGTGAGTACTCACGCAGACCCAAGTAACTCCTCACAGATGCAGCTAGAGACCCCTGGTGGTGTGGGGGTCTCATGCCCTTTGCGAGAGGAGAGCTACGGTAGAGTTAAAGCCTAAAACAGACACAGGCTTGTGTGTAGCAAAATGACCGGCATGCAACCATTTTACTTCCCATTGTCCCACTAACACATGATTTAACCCACCATATACCCAACCTCACGTGAAATGATCATCCCCCACCAAGACAGCAGAAGGGACAGAATACAGCTCAGGTCTTGTTAGTTTAAACGAAAATCCCTTAATATATAAATATAAACAATAGTTAACTGCTATGTAGCCTGCTAAAACTATTAAACAATCAAACACACACAAATGACACCAAGTTCTGAGGATGGTTTGGACATGTGTGCAAATTACAGCTTGACCAATCCTGCATTTGCGAGGTGGATAAGTGGTAGAAAGTAAGTACGACCATTGTTAGCCATGGCAGACGCCAGCCCTAACCTCTGCTGTAGGTATCGTGTATCGAGATTAATCGCTGCACTGTCATCACCTGTCACACTGCAGAATATGTGGGGAGATATGTGCTGACAAATGCTGACCTTGACTAGGGATTGTTGAAAGGTCTTAGTCGTGGTGTACTAAAAGCAGCGCTACATTGAACCTGACTGACCCACATTTTAAGGGCTCGGCATTCCAAGCTGGTTCAGAGTGACATGATGCTCTCATGTCAAGATAACCTACCCTTGACAAACAAAGTGTCAGACAATATTATTGAATCTAGTATTTAAAGCTGGCCTTTTCACATGCTTGTTTTTTCCATTGAGCTGTTTTAAGACTGCTGACTAGTATATCTGGGCGAAAGGTGAGGGGAAACTGGATAAGCTTGTTTTTGAATACACAGGGTCTTCACGATGAGGGCGGTGCACTTGGTTTGTGAAATAATTTACGATTTCACAACACAAACTGGTCCTACCACTGCTTACAGTTTACCCTAAAGTACATAGATTACACGAGCCTGATCCTATATGTAACGCCACTGTTTATCTAAGCTTGCCGGCACTGAATCAGACCTCCATTTCTGACAAGCGTGATGGAAACGTTCGCTAGGTTCCGTCGTGTTAAAAAGCCTTGCATGGCCGTGAACCTGTTACCTTACATATATAGTTACCTGCCATTCCAGCCGACACCATGTGTACCTGTGTGGAGTCGGGTTCCAACACACCGTTCAGTTTCTCTTTGGCAGTGGAGTAAGCAGCAAAGTAGATCGCTCTGTTGGGAGTGAAAAGACAAAAAGGGTCGGTATATGTTACACCAGTACAAGGCAAAACATGTTATATATGCAGTGTTTTGTGTTTTAGTGTAAGGGTTAATTAGTCTCAGCCAACTATGTGCCTCAGGTAGAGATGTAGCTTATTAATTACACTACATTAACAAGTAAAACTGTCCCCTTGTCAGGTTCAGCTTAATGAGCTTTAAAAATGTATTAAGTGTACAGCCGAGAGCAGAACCAACAGTCTCAGCAAATCAGCCTAGTTAGACAAAGAGACTATTCAGTACAAAAAGCACACGACTTCATTTGTTTTCACTAATTAAAAAGGTCATAATGATCATGTTCCTTCTTGTGGCTAAATACAAGTGTGTTTTTCCTCTGGTTAATGATACTTGAAGCTCATCAGTCACACTATAAGACAGTGTCTGTGTGTACATTAATCTTTCAATCTGCGTCACAGCTCAGGAAGCCTTGTTGTCTTCACCTCCACGTCCCACTGCAATAGCATTCATTGATGTAAGATGCTAACAAAACACTCTACATACGCCTAGCACTGGCACCTGCTTGCTGCAGCATTAGCCGCCGCCCACTGCCATTAGCTCCCACTTTGTGCCTATCACTACCACTGAGGGGTAATTAATGATCATGACTGTAATTACCTAACTGCAGCCAGTAACATTATTTCCAAGACACAGAACAAATACTGTCTGAAAAGCTGCTGCTGTTGCTGTGTTTCAGAGCAGAAACTGCTGAGAAAGCCAGGAAGATGAATGAGACCTAAATGAGCATCTATCCCTAATGCTTCTTTGTCACCAAGTAACCTCAAGGAGCCCTGTGGTGGTTACATAATACCAGTTTCTCACAGCCATGTCTACCTGAAAAACAAGGCCCAGAAACAGTACTGAGCCACTAACACACATCAGATGGGACTGAAACAGCAACCATTGTGTAACAGTTGATATTAAAGCAATGTTAGAAAAGGATAAGATAGGGCAACCTAGGCCTTTGTTTAGTTACGGCCCTAACGTAAAGAACTCAATCCTAAGCACGGGAGTAACTGATACAATTAAAAATGAGTTTCTTTAAGTGTCCATGCCAGCCAGAGAGCTTGCACGATCCCAGTAACCTGGAAAGGAGTCACCTAACTGGAAAACAGCTATC